GGGAAAGAGAAGTCAAAGATTATTCCAGAGCTTCTAGCCTGAATGGATGTGCCATCAACCATTACACAAGGCTGTGAATGGGTCATAAAGGGGGCGGATGTCGGCGGTTTGATTTTGGTCATGTTTAATTACTCGGAGGTGGGGGTGAACAGTATGCAGTTGGAGATGAGAGTCTGGATTTCACAGGACAGAGATCTGGACAAAAGATAGATACTTAAATACCACCCGAAAGTCATGACTTGGCTGAGATCACAGGAGTGAGTGTCGATACAGAAGGGAAGACCAAGGACCACCCTGGGAGGAGAGAAAAATAATCCTTACTTAGCTCCTTTAACTTCCATCTACTGTTTTTTCTTTTCTTTTTTTTTTTTTTACATAATTATTTTATTTAACTTTATTTATTTATTTATTTTAATTTGGCCAGTGTGGAGCAGAGAGAGAGGGAAACTGAGAAACTGAGAAAGCAAGCCACCAGTCCGGGACTCCAACCGTAGTCGGCCATGTGGGAGTCCAGCGCCCTTAACCACCACGCTACCTGCCGGCCCCATTTACTGTTCTTTTATTTCACTAACTTTCTCATAAATTCTTTCAAGGTTCTCTTTCTGCCTGGTCTGAGTGGTGGTCTGGACCACTTCCCTGTTTCATCAGGACATTGTGTAGGAAATGTTAGCCTCACTGGGAGGTTACCATAGGATACTGGCTTTCATCTCAGAAATTCAGATTTTCCCTCCACTGAGGTGCCATTCGGCTTGTTCTGACCTGCTTTATATTCCCTAAAAATACAGTGCTTTGGATCCGTTTCCTCACAGTGACTAACTGCAGCAACTGAGGAGGTTGGGACTGCCCTGTTTCCCACTGTCTCTTCAGCCAAGCTTTTCCCACTCAAGCTCTTCCTAATCTCAACTGTGAGTAATGACCACTCCCTTGACTGCCCTCCCACACACAGCCCTGCCACCTCATCCCTTTAGGAGACACGGGTAAAACTGTCTTGCAAAAAATGTAAAAGGAACTCACATTCTTCAATTATCTACATTATTCTTCTAGTAAGTAGACCATAACCTGGAGTTTGACAATCTTTTCTATTTATAGCAATGTTTATTTAATAATTTTACTTATTCATGTGCCTAAAAAGCACTGAGGTAGCCCAAAATAGAATGCCCCTGATGGTTTTCTTCCCTTGCGACTATAA